CAGGTCCCTTTCCCACCCAAAAACCACTCTGGGATTCTCCTGTAGCCAAATTCCTCTGGTCTGGATGATCTTTCAGGTCCCTTTCCCACCAAAACCATTCTGGGAATTCTCTGCAGCCAAATCCAGGCTCAGCTGCTCCAGGGACACAGGATTTGAGCACCAGTGGAAGGTGTCCCTGCCCATGGTCTGGGTGATCCTGCAGGTCCCTTCCCACCCAAAAACCACTCTGGGATTCTCCTGTAGCCAAATTCAGGCTCAGCTGCTCCAAGGACACGACTCAGCCCCCCCCCAGGACACAGGATTTGAACCCCCAAAGTGCCTTTTTATCCCTAAAAAAACTATGGAGCACATCCAGACATCTCCAGAGGTGAGTTTAACCCTCTGTCACCTCCTCTCTCTCACTTCCTCCCTCCCTGAATCCCCCAATTAACCAATTCCACAGCCCAAAAAGCAAAACCAGCCTGGTTTTTACAACACAAAACACTCCAGGTGTTCCCTGAGCCCAGAAAAACCTGGGATTCCTCACCTTGGTTCCAGGTTTTAATCCTTCAGGTCCCTTTCCCACCCAAACCACTCTGGGAATTCTCCTGTAGCCAAATTCAGGTGCTCCAGGGACACGACTCAGCCCCCCCAGGACACAGGACTGAACCCCAAAAGTGCCTTTTTATCCCTAAAAAACACATCCAGACATCTCCAGAGCTGAGTTTAACCCTCTGTCACCTCTTCTCTCTCACTTCCTCCCTCCCTGAATCCCCCAATTAACCAATTCCACAGCCCAAAAAGCAAACCCAGCCTGGTTTTTTACAACCCAAACCACTCCAGGTATTCCCAGAGCCCCAAAAAATTGGGATTCCTCACCTTGGTTCCAGGTTTTAACCCTTCCAGCTGCTTGGGCTTGCGGAAGGTTTTGTGGTGCTGCAGCTTGTGCTCGATTTTGTCCTTGGCAAAGAGGAACTGGAGCCTGCACTTGTTGCAGTGATAAACACTCTTCTTCTAAAGCAAAGGGGGAGAAATGCAGTTGAGAGGAACAGGAATTCCCCCCACACACAGCAGGGTTTGGTTTAAAAATGAAAGAAAATAAACCCTGAAACCCCCCAGTTTTTCCCTTTTCGAAAGCAAAGGTGGCCCCGTTTTCCTCCTGCACGGCCCTCAAAGGTGGGGTGGTTTAAATTAAGGTTTTTAATTAAAATCAGGATGTTCTGCAGAGACATCACACCTGGAAGTGCCATGGAAAAGGTCTTGGGGTAATATTCCCTCAAGAGTTGCTTTCCCTTTGCCTCTCAGGGGAGTCCAGCAAAGGATTTTGGGGCAAATCATTTGGTAAAATCCCTGAATTCCCAAATTCTACCTCCTAAGACCTCATTTTCCACCCCTAGACAGGTGATTCCTGGTGTTCCTGGTGCCTCATTCCCTCAAGAGCT